GCATAGTGGCTAAGGCACTTGACTGCTAACCAGAAGGCTGGCGGTTCAAACCCACCAGCCACTCCTCGGAAGGAAGGTTGGGCAATCCTACTTCCGTTGTGATACTGCCTCGGAAACCCAAGGAGGGGTCGCTATGAGTCGGGGCCGACTCGACGGCACATAACAACAACAACAATTACTCTGAGGAGTCAGCTCTTCCCCAGTCATATTTTGCGTGCCTTCCAACCTGATGGGCTCATCTTCCAGCACTGTATCAGACAGTGTTTCAGGTCTATTAATAAAATTTTCCAGTAATATATCAGACTGTGCTTCACTGCTACTCATAAGGTTTTTACTAGCCAATTGTTTGTGAAGTAGATGACCTCTTCCTTCTTCCGAGTCTGTCCTAGTCTGGAACATATCCTCCATGGGTAATCTTGCTGGCATTTTGCAATACCGGAGGCATAACCTCCAGCCTCACAGCAATACACAAGCCACTGCAGGACAACAAACTGACAGACAAGATGGCTTATAGAAAGTATTTTATTTTTTACCAAGTCTTTGAAAATGAATGACAGAAATGTCATGAATGGATGTGTAGAACATTTTTGTCTTTTGTTAGAAAATTTGAATATCTCTCCTTTGTTATGAGATAAAAGTCTGGTTGCCAGGTGAGATAAGATAACTCAGTTAAATTTGTATTTCAGGTAAACAATGAATTTTTTTAGTAAGTATATCCTGCGGGATATTTTTGTACTGAAAATTTATTCATTCTTTATCAGAAATTCAAATTTAGTCAGTTGTCTTGAATTTTCATTTGCCAAGTCTGATAACCCTGAATAAAATCTAAATAAATTTATCTGACCAAATAAATAAAATACTTTTATAGATCATCTTGTCTGTCAGTTTGTTGTCCTGCAGTGGCTTGTGTGTTGCTGTGAGGCTGGAGGTTATGCCACCAGTATTGCAAAATGCCAAAATTAAATACTCCAATAACATATTCTATTTTCTAGAATCTTTTGTTTTTCTACTACGTCACACCACATAGCCATGCATTTAATAAAGAAAATTAGAATATCAGTAAATGCTAAGTAAAGAACTGAAAAAGTTTACCTGACGATAATGTATCATATTGAGAACTGATGTTCCACCTATATTCTGTGTTATATATATATCAAGACAACTCTAGGAAAAAGAAAAATAATGAATACATTTGTAATTAATTAGTTTTTCTTTTCAGGAAAGGCAGTTTTTCAAAATAATGGAAATGCATTACTTCTATGACTCAAATTGCTCTTTGATTAGATAATGTTTAGAAGGAGAAACTAGATTTTGGCCATAATCAGAGAAATTTAAGTTTCTCTGTGTCCTTTATGGGAATATTTGATGGGAATTTTTTTTTCTGTAAAGAAAATCTTAAATTAAATGATCATTACATAGATGAATGACACCAGAATGATTAAAATTAGGCAGTGGGAAAAGATTAAAATTCATTTATATATGTTGTTCAGATCAATACAAACATATATCATGGTATTTTTCACATAGTCATATTAATTACAACATCTCAGAAATATTGAATGTTGGAAGTGATATGTAAAATATAGTTTATTATAATAATGTTTGTTATATAGTTTTCCTGTTCAGCCAGTTAAGATGTATGTATATTAGGTAAAATGATTGTCCCTGGTTCTTAATATTTACTATATGATCATGACATAGCATTAATAAAGCATTATCAAGAAAAAACATTGACTTTAAAATCAATAATGACACTAACCTCATTTAAATTTTTTGGATTATATCCAGTTATCAAAGAAAATAAATTGTTGCAAACTTCATCAAGTAGCTCTTGGTTGCACACATTCTGAGCAATGATTTTACTAACAAATGCTTTAGGTAAAAATTCTTTTTCACCAAACAGAATCTGGAAAAGACATATTTGAGGGGTAAATCTTAGGTAGGAAATGTGTTTTGTCCAATAGAAAATAAAAATGACAGAATAAATGGGAAATATAAAATAAAATCACAATATAGTATCTAAAATTAGAATGACGATTTCATGAGTTTGTTTACTGTGATAAAATTCTATACAAAATAGAGGGAGCACCCAATCAAATTGTATATCTTGGAAAAGTTTTTTAATCAATTTAATTGGAATGCATACTTTTGATAGTAATGAACTTGACTTCACTTCAGGTAGAAGGAAAATTAATTTACGTGAATAATACAAGCAGAAATGAAATTGTATTTTTTTTCTTCATTTCATTTATTTTGTTGTTGTTGAGAATATACACAGCAAAGCATATACAAATTCAAGTTTCTACAAGTATACAGTGACATTGATTACATTATTCAAGTTATGCAACAATTCTCACCCTCCTTTTTTGAGTTGTTACTCCCACATACATAAATTCACTACCCCTAAGGTTCCTATCTAAACTTTCACGTTGCTATTGTCAATTCGATCCCATATAGATAGTTCTCAAAAGAGCGTGATACTCAAGGCAGAACTTTTTTACTGGTTAAGCTAAATTATTGTTCAGTTTTAAACTGACAAAATTTATTTTTCCAACATTTGCAGAGCAAATTGGTTTTCAGTTCAACAATCCATACACATTTTGTTTTGTGACATTTACCTCAATCCCCACACAGTAACAGCATTCTTCAAACTTCCTCTCTCTGTCATCCCCTTCCCCTCATTCTTCCCTCTATTCCCCTCTCTCCTTCCTAGCTCTATCCCTGGGCAAATGCTGTCCTCTTGATCTTCTATGCTTGATTGTTGTAATGAGTACATGTTGTATTTTTGTTGTTATGTGCTGTTGAGTCGGACCCAACTCATAGTGACCCCTCCTTGTGTTTCTGAGGCAGTATCACTATGGAAGTAGATTGCCCAACCTTCCTTCCAAGGAGTGGCTGGTGGGTTTGAACCACCAGCCTTCTGGTTAGCAGTCAAGTGCCTTAGGCACTATGCTACCAGAGCTCCCTAATGAGTGCATATTCTCCTGATATTACTGTTCATCTTAAGTGTCTATCGTTTGGCTGCCAGTTGAGACATGGGTTAACTTTAGCTCCTAGACTGAATGGTGTCCTAGGGTCATAGACTCAGGGGTTCTACCATTCTTCATCAGACCAGTAAGACTGGTCTTTTTTGTGATTTTGACGTTTGTTCTACATTTTCTCCTACTGTATCCAGGACCTCTTATTGTGATCTCTTTCAGAGTGATCAGCAGCAGTAGCTGGGTGCCGTCTAATTTTTCTGGTCTCAGGGTCATGGATGCTGGGCTTCACATGCTCCATTAGTCCTTTGAACTAATTGCTTCCCGTGTCTTTGATTTTCTTCACTTTTCTTTACTCCAGATGGAGAGAGACCAATAGTTGCACCTTAGATGGCTGCTCACAAGCTTTAGGACCCCAGGCTTTATTCACCAAAATAGAATGTAGAACATTATCTTTGTGGACTATGTTATGCCAGTTGACCGTAGTGCCCCCCTAAGACTATATGGTCCTGAGCCTCCATATCCAGCAAGTCATTTTGTATTTATTTGTTATAAGCTACTGAAAGAGGGAAGAAACATACATACTTACACACACATACATACATACAGGTAAGCAGGTGCATTTTATTCATTTTAATATACATGTGTGTTGTAAGAAAAGATAGTAAAATGAGACTTGTAAAATGAGTATAATAAAGAGAGAAAATAAATTTCAAATGACAGTGGGCAAGATAAGAAAATGTAAGCTAGAGAAAATGGTAATGAACTAAGGGATGTGGTAAACAAAGAACAAGAATATGTAGTTAAGAAAATAAGTAAGACAGTTTCTTTAAAAATCACAGCATGGCAAATATAAAATTTAAAGGAGTATTATATAATATATATATTAGCAAGAAAAATCTATGAGGACAGAGATCTAACCCTTGAGAGAAGAGACTATGCATCTTCTGTGAAAGAAGCAAAGCTAAAACAATAAATAAAATTAATTTCACAGAAAAATCTCAATCAAGAGTACATACTATAGGAGAATAATGCAATCCCAAAATTATTACAAATATAGACTGTTTAAACAACACAATAATTAGATTTAATTGACCTATTTGTAATATGGCCCATAAAAGTTAGAATATCCACATCCTTTTCAAACATACAAGAAAAAATTACAGACTTTCAGAATAGAAAAGACCTCCAAAAACAGTACTCCTCAATAACAACAATGAAAATATAGCAAAAAAAAAAAAAAAAAAAGCAAAGTCAACTTTTTCAGAAGTCTGAGAATTAACTAATAGCTTGCAACAATCCAGAATGCATATTTAAGAAAACTGCTGAATCTTGGTAAGAACCCTCAGCACTGTAGCCTTGATCTATTCCCATGCCTTTCTCCCAGCTCTGAAATAACCTTGAAACAACAATAACTTTGTACACCAACAGCCTAGCAGTCTCTGGAAGGGAAAAAATGGGGTTAAAACTTCCAAAAAGGGTCAATCCTCAGAGAATTTTCACTTTGATTCATCCAAGAGAAACCAGGAGAAGCCCATTCAGTGCTCTTGTCTTTATTTGACCTAACTCAGTGCTCATTGTTGTTAGGTGCTGTTGAGTTGGCTCTGACTCATAGTGATCCTACGCACAACAGAAGGAAACACTGCCCAGTCCTGTGCCAGCCTCACAATCCTTGCTATACTTGGGCCCATCAATCCATCTCATTGAGAGTCAATCCATCTCATTGAGGGCCTTCCCATTTTTTGTTGACCTTCCACTTTACCAAGCATGATATCCTTCTCCAGAGAATGGTCCCTTCTGACGACATGACCAAAGTAGGACAGATGACGTCTGGCCATTCTTGCTTCCAAGGAGCATTCTGGCTGCACTTCCCCCAGGACAGATTTGTTAGTTCTCCTGGCAGTCCATGGTACTTTCAGCATTCTTCACCAACACAACTCAAAAGCATCAACTCTTCTTTGGTCTTCCTTATTCATTGCCCAGCTCTCACATGCATATGAGGCAATTGAAAATACCATGGCATGGTCTGAAAATACCATGGTTTAGTGCTCACTATGTGGAAAAAACATTCTTCCTGTGTGTTATGTGAAAAAGAAAATCAGTGGTGTGGTTTAACATCACAACTTCCTAATGTAGTGATACCAGTTGGAGAAAATAAGAGTCTGGCCAAAAATTGTAAAAGGAACATCTGAGAAATAAGGTCTCCATAAAGAACTTTGTACAGCTCCAATATATTCTCAATGATATAGACAGCCAAATCCTTGAGTGGCACTAATGGTTAAGTGCTTGACTACTATCCAAAAGATTGGTGTTTCAAACACACCCAGAGGTGCCTTGGCAGACAGTCCTTGGAATCTTTTTCTGAAAGTTTGCAGCCTTGAAAACCTTAGAAACACAATTTTATTATGACACATATGAGGTCTTCATGAGTCATAATCAATTAAACAGCTACTAACAACAAAAATTACATTAATATATGGGCAAGGATTGAGCACATGTCCACAAAAGACCCAAGAAGGCCCGAACCTCTCACTTCTTTCTGCTCTGGAGGCCATTATCAATCAGTAAGTGAAGTCTAAGACAGAGTTGTAAACTGGTAAAGTTTGCAAAGCATGCTCCAATGTACACAGAAAACTGGAATATTTAGTGGTTAAAGCCATTTACAAAATCTCTGTGCAACTGTTAACTGGCCACCAAGCTAACAGAGCAGATCTCACAATGAGGAATACAGACTAAAGAATTAGTCCAGAAAAGTCATTAAACAAATAAAGATAAAGAAAGAAAGAAACAACAATAAACTGTGATATTAGAAGGGGAGAAAAATTGATAAGCAGAATTACAATATTATACTATATTTTTACCATTTATTAGGCATGCATTATTTGCCACCAACTATGCAAATACATGGTATTTTGATTGCAGAGTCATTTTGAAGCAACTTAAAATAAATACATAAAAGTCACATCTTTAAATTTAATAAATAATGTATAAAGCAGATATTCCCCTTATTGTTTATTGTCTTCTTCACCCAAATTAATATATGTCTACTCTTGAGTTAGTGGTTTATACTCTCTTCTCCCCATCCCATTATATTATTTTAAATGTCCAATGAAGAAAAAAGATTTAGATATACACAGGGAGACAGGAATTTGCAGCCCAAATGGAAGGAAAAGAATAGTCAATAGAAATTTTCCAGGAGGAAGTATAAATGTTACACTTATTACACAAATGCTTCAAATTAACTATTACATATCCAAAGAATTAAAAACTAAGTTGAAAGAATTAAATAAAATAATCCAGAAAAATTTTCACCAAATAGTAAATGTCAGTAAAGAAATAAAATTATATGTGTGTGTGTGTGTGTATATATATATATATATATATCTCCAAATAAAAATTCTGGAGTTGAAAACTACAGTATCAGAATGAAAGAAAAATCACTAGTGAGGTTCAACAGCATATTTGAGAGGCAAAAGTCAGAAAGAGTGAACTTGAAGATTGATTAATTGCAATTATCCACTCTGACAAACGACAAGAAAAAAGAAAGAAAAATAAATGAATATAGCTTCATACACCTATTAGACATTATCCAACATATCAACATATGTACCATCAGAGTCCAGAGGAATGGGATATAGAGAAAAAGGCACAGTTTAGATACAAAGACAAAAAGAGGTTAAAAATCAAAAGATGTAAAAACATATATCAATCAAATGATAACCTAAAAAGATCATAAGTGGCAATATTAATAGAGAAAATAGGTATTAAGGCAAAAATAAGCAAAAGGGACAAGGATGGACATTATATAATGGTTAAAGGGTCAATCAAACAAGAGAACATCACTATAATAAATATCTACGCACACAATGAAGGAGCTCCAAAATACATAAATCAAATTTAACAGAGTTGGAAAGAGAAACAGACAACTCCACAATAATAGTAGGAATAATACATCATTCTCGATGAAGGACAGAACAACTAGAAAGAAACTCAACAAAGACACAGAACAGCTAAACAATACAATCAACCAACTATACCTCATAGACATATATAGAAGCCTCCAACCAACAACACCAGAATAAATATGCTTTTCCACTGCACATGGAACATTCTCAAGAATAGACCACACATAAGGCCACACAGCAAGCCATGATAAGTTTAAAAACACTAAAATGCTACAAAGTATTTTCTCAGATTACAAATTAGAAATCAACAACAGGAAGAGTAAGGGGAAAAAAAATGCATGGAAAATGAATAACAACCTGTTTAAAAATTAGTGAGTAATAGAAGATATAAAATAAATAAATAAATTCCTTGAATCAAAGGAAAATGATAATACAACATACTAAAATCTCTGAGTCACAGTGAAAACAATGTTCAAAGGGCAATAAATAGCAAAATAAGCACATATCAACAAAGAAAAAGAGCTAAAATAAAAATCTTAACCCAACAACTGTAACACTTAAAAAACACAGCAAAAATGCCTACAGTTAGGAGAAGAAAGGAATTAACAAAAATTTGAGCAGAAATAAATGAAACAGAAAACAATAGAAATAGTAAACAAGAGTAGAAATTGGTTCTTTCAAAAGATTAATTGACATACTACTGGCCTTTTAGCAAAGGAAAAGGAGAAGATGCAAATACCCTGAATAAGAAATGATGATGTCACAATAGAATGTACTGACATAAAAATGATAATAACAATATTATAAAGAACAGTACTCCAACAAATTTGAAAACCTAGACAAAATTGAACAGGTCATTAAAAAAAAAAAAAAAAAAAAAAAACCTACTAACAATAAAAAAAGTCTTGTTCCAGATGGCTTCACTGGTGAATTCTACCATACATTCAGAAAAAAAGCTGACACTAATTCTACCTAAATTATTCCACAGTAAATAAAGGATGGAATAGTCCTGAACTCATTCTATGAAGACAGAATAATGCTGATACCAAAACTAGGCAAAGACATCACTAAAAAAGAAAAATAAAGACCAATATCCCTCATGAACATTGATGAAAAATTTTCAATAAAATTTTAGCCAATAGAATTCATCAACATATTAAAAAAACAATCATATGGTATGATCAAGTGGGATTTGTACCAGGTATACAAGATGGTTCAACACTAGGAAAAGAATCAGTATAATCCACTACATAAATAAAGGGAAAAAAATGTAATGATATAAATTGATGCAGAAAAGGTATTTAGTAAAACTCAATACCCACCCTTGAAAAAACACTCAGCAAAATAGAATAGAAGGGAAACTCCTCCACATAATTAAGACCATATACGTAAAAACAACGACCAATATTATTCTCAGTGGAGAAAGAGAGGAAAAAAAAGATTCTCCTTGTGAACAGGAACTTGACAAGGATGCCCTTTATCACCACTCTTATTTAATATTGTATTGGAAGTAATAGCCAAAGCAGTAAGGCAAGAAAGGGAAATAAAAGGTATCTAAATCAGCAAAGCAGAGATAAAACTATTTCTATTTGCAGGTGATATGATCGTATACATAGAATATCCTAAAGACAACAAGAATATTACTGGAACTAATAGAAGGCTTCAGCAAAGTGGCAGAGTATAAAATCAACATTAAAAAATCAGTTGGATTCCTCTACACTAACAAAGAGAACTCTGAAAAGGAAATCAGGAAAACAATACCATTTATAATAGTCACCCAAAAGATGAAGTACTTAGGAATAAATCTAACCAGATGCAAAAGACATATAAAAAGAAAACTATAAAACACTAGTATAAGAAATTAAAAGAGACCTTCATAAATGGAAGAATATACCATGTTCATGGATAGTAAGAATTACCATTTTGAAAATATCCGTACTAGACAAAGCAATCTACAGATATAATGCAATCTCGATCCAGATTCCAACATTTTCCTTTACAGAGATGTTCTTATTGTGAAAACTATGAGCATATTACCTCTTGTTCTATATTATAAAGGATCACAAACCTTAAATTTTAATGGACTGATGTATCCAAGAACACGAAAAACACTTGTCATGTACTTTACAGTGGTAACTGGAGCTAGTGCAAAGTAGATTTTAATCTTTTCAGCCAGTTGTGGATTTGTTGAAAATCCTCCAAAACCTGAAAGGAAATAAAAGAATGAGCTAGTTTTCCAGGGTTCTTTCTTGCTTAAAATTGTAGTGTCATTCAGTTAGTTCATACCCAAAATTACATCACATACATGTTATATTTTGTCACAAGTACCAAATTTGTCTCTTGGGAATCCCTCTACAATTTACCCTGTGAGCTGACATCAGATTAATTTCTCTAAATTCTGTCAATCTTGTCTCCCTTTTCCTAATAATCTTTGATGGTTGCCGATTACATAGCCTGACACTCAGTGGCCCCTAGTGTTTTGTTACATTAGAAAAACACCTGGAAAATGAACCAATGCTCTTTCCATGAACATATCTCTCTGATACTTCCAGGATTCTAATCTTTACTTAAGCACCTTCTTCCCCTGGGCTGTGTTCCATCTGCTCTTCTCTCTCCTGATTACTTCAAATTTCATTTACATGTATAAAGAGCCTAGATACAGCCTCTGCTCTTTTGGTTGCTACTCTAGAGAAGCTGAGGGGTCCATCTTTCAAAAAAAGAACCTATAATCAGGTCCAACTCAATTTTCCTTTCTTCCTTATAAATTATTGCCTAATATCTGTGTTAGAAAAAGTTTCCTCTCAGGGCACATGATGAATTCCATGGACTCAAAGCACTTTTGCCTCCTTGAGCCTTTTCTCCGTAATAATGAAAAAATAATATTACTGCATTGATATAAAGAAGAATATAATCAAAAATGGATTATATTCATTATTTCTTCTTATTTTAAAAGTAACTATAACATTTTTGTGGGTCCCTGAAAGTATCATGGATGCTAGAACCCTATACTTAATGAATTAACTCTGCTCCTCTCTGCTCACATCTTTCCTGTCCTCACATCTGCCTGCCAGATGCCTTCTGCAAATGTCATTCCATTTTTGCTTTGGTTCTTAACTACAGGTGATTTCCCCTCTATGGGACATCTGGCAATGTTTGGAGACATTTTTAATTGTCACAACTCAGGGGAAAGAACGGTTCTACTGGCAACAGCCAGACCAACAGCCTACACTGATCAAGGCAACCCTCCAAAGAAATAATTAAAACCAAACCCACTGCCATCAAGTCAATTCTGACTCATGATGACTGTATAGGACAGAGAAGAACTGCCCTCCCAGATTTCCAAGGCTGCAAATCTTTATGATCACCACTCCTCTGTCAATTTGTTGTACTGTGGTGGCATTTCTGTTGCTGTGAGGCTGGAGGCTATGCTACCGGTATTTCAAATGCCAGCAGAGTTACCCTTGGTGCACAGGTTTTGGTAGAACTTCTATATTAAGACAGACTCAGAAGAAGGAAGGGCCCATCTATTTCTCAAAGAATTGGCCAGTGAAAAACTTATGAATACCAGTAAAAAACTATCTTATATATTGCTGGAAAACTTTATGGATAGCTCTGAAACGTTATCTGATATAGTACCAGAAGATGAGCCCTTCAGGTTGGAATGCACTCAAAACATGACTGGTGAAGTTCTGCCTCCTCAAAGTAGAATTGACCTTAATGATGTGGAAAGAGTAAAGCTTTCAGGACCTCCATTTGCTGATGAGGCATGACTCAAAATGGGAAGAAACAATTGCAAACATCCATTAATAATCAGAATATGGAATGTGTGGAGTATGAATGTAGGAAAATTGAAAGTAGTCAAAAAAAGAAATGGAACACATAAAGATCAGTATCCTAGACATTAGTGAGCTGAAATGGACTGGTTTTGGCCATTTTGACTCAGACAATCATATGATCTACTATGCTGGGAATGACAAATTGAAGAGGAATGGTGTGGCATTCCTCATCACAAAGAATGTTTCAAGTACAATGCTGTCAGTAATAGGATAATATCCATACACCTACAAGGAAGATCAGTTAATACTACTATTATTCAAATTTACACACTAGCCACTAAAACAAAATATGAGGAAATTGAAGATTTTTGCCAACTTCTGCAGTCTGAAATTGACCAAACATGAAATCAAAATGTATTGATTATTACTGGTGACTAAAATGTAATAGTTGGAAATGAATAAGAATCGTTGGTAGTTGGAAAATACAGGCTTGGTGGTAGAAATGATGCTGGAGATTTTATGATAGAATTTTGTAAGACCAACAACTTATTTATTGCAAATACATTTTTCAACAAGGCTAGGAGCTGACTGTGGAAGAGACCATCAATATGCAAGTTCAAGTTGAAGGTGAAGACAATGAAAGCAAGATCATGAGAGCCAAATTATGACCTTGATTATATCCCACGTGAATTTACAGACCATTTAAAGAACAGATTTGATGCATTGAACATCAGTTACTGAAAACCAGATGAATTGTGGAATGACAGTAAGAACATCATACATGATGAAAGCAAAAGGTCATTAAAAATACAAGAAGAAAAGACCAAAATGGATGTTAGAAAAGACTCTGAAACTTGCTCTTGAAATGAGAGTAGCTAAAGCAAATGGAAGAAATGACAAGATCAAAGAGATGAAAAAAATATTTCAAAGAGCAGCTTGAGAAGACAAAGTCAATTATTATACTGAAATGTGCAAAGACCTGGAGTTAGAAAACCAAAGGACTAAGAACATGCTCAGCATTTCTCAAGCTGAAAGAACTGAAGAAAAACTTCAAGCCTTGAGTTGCAATATTGAAAGATTCTGTGGGCAAAATATTTTAATGATGCAGGAAGCATCAAAAGAAGATGGAAGGAATATACAGAGTCACTGTACCAGAAAGAATTGGTTGATGTTCATCCATTTCAGGAGGTGGCATATGAACAAGAACCAATGATATTGAAGGAAAAAGCTGAAGTTGCACTGAAGGAATTGGCGAAAAACTAAAATGAAACTATTGTTACTGAATGATTTTTTCTTTCTTTTTTTGGCTTGTCTATAAGTTTTTAATAATTACAATCAATAGATATAATTTCTAAACAAGAAATTTTAATAAACCCAAAGCAACAAGTAGGTGGCTTAAAAATAAAAGAAATTTTAAAAAAGGAAATTATTCTCTTGTTTTAATTTGATATAAAAATTATAGCACATAGTGCAGATGAACTTGCAGGACATCTTCTGAGTGAAATAAGTCAATCACAGAAGGACAAATACTGTATTAGTTCATTATTGTAAAAAGTCAAGGAAAGGTTTATATATGGAAGGAAACTTTCTTTGTTGGTTACTGGGGGTGGGGGAAGGGAAAGGGAGGAAACACTGCAAAAATAAAAGTGAAAAATAGATTACTGCCAAGAAAAAAAAAAATTATAGCACTGACAATACTCAGTTTCAGCATACCCATAATGGTGCCTTGTGAAAATACCACATAATAAATTTGATTTTGTCCTGTTTTCTTCACAACAAAATCAACACTTGCTGGAAGATCATATTTTATCAATTCATCGAAACTGCAGGAAACAAAAATGGTTATAACTTTTAATTAATTCTTTATCACTAATAAGAATGTTATCTTCATGTTTTAAAATTTGAATTTAAAAGACCCCTCTGGATCATGATCTGGGTAACAAGAGCTAACATTTTTCATTCAACATGTCCTATATGGCAGGCATTATACTATCGGTTTGTAAGTATCATTTCATCGATTGCCCCCCAAATACCTTTGAAATAATTCTAAATAATTATACATATCCCAGAGCTTAACAGGCTTTGGAAGTTAGTTTGCGTGCCTGAGATCAAACTTAATACCTGAGAGACTAAATTTCAAACACAGCTACTGTTACTCTGGAGCCCAGATTCCAAGACACCAGGCTATTGGCTTTTCTCATAAAATGACTATAGCTATTGGAGATTGGTAGCAGACCAAAGTTGCTGGATATGCAAAAAATAAACATAGAATATGAGTAGTTTGTTTGTTGTTTTGTATAATGGGCAGAAGGGGACATATGCATTATAATATCTCCTTCTGAGTGGCAAAAGGTTAAACATGTACATTTTTATCCTTGTTTCTATCTCCCTGTCTTATTTTTCCTCTCTCTATTTATTTATTTTTGCTCTACTAATTGTACATGCACAACCAAAGCAAAAAGTAGTATGTAGGTTTGGCAAAGTGATTAATATTTGTAAAATAGGTCAAGGGGAAGAATTGGAAACAATGTCCCTTCCATATCTTTTCATTTAACTCATAGGCACAACAGTTACAATATAGGGAAAATCTCAAGTATTTTTCATATTATTGATATTTTATAATATTATTCAATAGAAACACAATTTAATGATGTGCCTTCCTTTTAGGTCTTCAAATTTATTTAAGCATTGAAGCTATTAACACATTTTAAAATCAAATGAAAGAAATACAGATTTATTTTCCATACGTGAAAGCCCAGAATTTTTTGGAATCTGTGTGTAGGTACACATGTTTCCTGGACCATGTGTTTCCTCTGCTGTTTCCCATCCACACATCATAACCAGCATCTGCTAGAAGGAAGCCCAGGCTATTGTTGGGAAGATTTAAAATCCAGGCACTGGCAGTTTGAAGCAGACCATGCTGTAAAAACATGACCGGCTTCTGGGCTGAAAAGTAAGAATGAAAAATGTTTTATAACAAACAGGTGCTGGAAATGACAACATAAATTTTCAAACCACTATAGTATCCTGACTCCACGGCACATAACAACAACAACAATAGTATCCTGATGACTATTTTATTTGTATCACAAAGAACTGTGCTTACTATCTATTAAGTTTATTTTCTATTAATAATATATTATTACATACTTCTCATGGCAGAAGAATTGCCCATCTATGTGGTGTAGTGCATAAGACACTTGACTGCTAACCAGAAGGCTGGCAGTTCAAAGCTACCAGCCACTCCTGGAAGGAAGACTAGGCAATCTACTTCCGCAGAAATACCGGCTCAGAAACTCAAGGAAAGGTTGCTATGAGTCTGAATCGACTCAAGGCCGTGAGTGTTTCTGATGATCCCATATCCTCCCCGTGCCCTCAAGCATAAATTGCTATTGTTGTTGTTGTTGTGTGCCATCGAGTTGGACCGCCTCATAGTGACCCCTCCTCGTGTTGCCGAGGCAGCATCACTACGGAAGTAGATTGCCCAACCTTCCTTCCGAGGAGTGGCTGGTGGGTTTGAATCACCAGCCTTCTGGTTAGCAGTCAAGTGCCTTAGGCACTGTGCTACCAGAGCTCCCATAAATTGCCATAGTGAGTGGTTTTCAGCTCCAGCTAGCATTTATAGGCCATATTCTTTTTAAGTTAAAGAACTTCTATCGTATGAAACACCAAAGAGAAATGCCCAGAAACAGTAATATTTTGGAAAGCAAAAGATCCATGTGCAGATTATTAAAGAAAGAAGTTAATTTCCTAAACTTTAATAGCATCTGTATACACTGAGGGCTTGGACAAATAGAATGAATAAGGTCTCTACTATTACCACCAGCAGAGCAAATATGAACTCTCACTAGGTGAACTGAAGCATTCTGGAGAAGCAATGTGGTGGAATGTTCTGGGGTATTTATTCAGAGACTCTGAGTTCCCACGCAGTACACCACACTAAATTCATGAGCCAGTGTGGGCTTCACCTCCTCATCCTCACAGCCAATGGAAACAAAGCGTCAACCACACCCTCAGCATTACCTCAGCCAAGGAGTTCAGGAACTTTTTATGACTTATTTCATTCTGGACATAGGAAATTTCATTTTTACCCCACTCTAATCCTACCTAAATTATTAGTCTCACTCTTCCCATGAGGAATTTGGTTGAGCTGAAGGATGTAACCATCTTCAGTCACAACTTCATATGTTTCACTTGGATAACCCCAGTAGGAAATCATCTCACTCTGAATGGAGAAAAGACAAAATCTTTAGCTTTATGAGTTAAATGGCTAATTTGATGACCTTTAAAGAAGAATTTCTTACTGGTTTGAGGAAAATACAATAATAAGGGAAAATTTTAAAGATAAATGAAACTAATAAATTAATTGGAGATATTTTGATTAGTGGAAAGAATAACTTACAACATTCATATTGGTTTCCGGGTTCACAGGTTTTGGTCTAAGTAAACAAGATGCATTTCCCAACACATGAATGAAGCACATTGTCTTAAGCAGCCACCCCATTTTTAATTTCCTGAGAAGGAAAATGTTATCAGCATGATTATAATAAATATGACAATGTAAAGTCATCCTCTTGACTGCTATGCTATTTGCTTCATGGATTTTTTTTATATGTCTACTTATTCTCTGGTCATTCCCTATTTTGACTGTTGTTATGACCTTCCATTACTATAATCATCTTTTCTTTCTTTACATCATTTTGTTTCTCCAGAGAATCTTTCATCTATTGAAATACCTTTGTAGATGTGAAGCCAGAAATGTCATTTACCCTCTGTCCAAAAAAAAAAAAAAAAAATCCTGAGCTGATCTCTATTGAAATTGTAAATAAAATAAGGCACTCTATTCATGGTTCTCATTGCATGTGAAAACTTTTCAATCACCTCAAGAGGAAGGCCAGAAGCTATCCAAATGTTGACAACAAGAGAAAACTTTTGTATTATTGCTTTAAATTATCTAGATACAAAGCTTCTGTTTGCACACTGTACTACGCCACCAGAACTCCTACTACATATTTAAGTACTACACATACTACACAGTTAAAGCTGTTTTACTTTAAACATGCATGTAGGGCTCCAGCTTCCTCTCCATTCCTGCTTCACAGTTCTATGCCAACTCTTCCTCCCTCTTTGATGGGATATTTTTTCCTAAGGGACTCTCCATTCTCCCTTGCCACTTTGGAAGCGTTCCGCTGTCTCCCACATTGCTGACCTCTGAATTCTCCTACTCTTCCTGAAATCTTCAGACACAAATGTGACTATAGTTTCCACAGCTGTAGTTTTCAATATAATATGTCTTCTGTTCTAATTCTGACACTTTTCATTTGAATAAATGTTTAGCTTGAGGTATTCATAATGAAACAACATGTTGTCTGCCTTCAAGGCACTTCTAATCTAGTGAATAGTTTAGCAGGAAGAGCTCTTCCTATCTGGCCCATTACCTGTGCTTTTTGAGCGTTTCTCAATGCCTTCTACATCTGGTCTACCCGGGGCCTTGCTTTTAAAATCCCACAGGTGAGCTGGGAATTTACATTCAATCAAATGGAAGGATGACTGTCTGGGTAACAATATAGCAATAAAGTATTTCATTTAGTCTTGGCTCAGTAGCCAGTTGCTGCCAAATAAGTAAATAAATATATTATTAGTGAGACTTTTCAAATTCAATATATTTTCTTGTAATAGCTCTGCATTTATCTGAGGAAAAATTAAAGTTAATTTCCCCATTATCCAAGAGCCTTCTACCTATCTTTTCCTTTTGTTTCATCAACAAGTAAGACAATTCTGTCTCATTCAATAGGTCTCACTCAATTCTCTTTGCAGTATGCCCTAAAGGACCAAAATCAGTGTTTATCTTTTTGTGATAAAGTACAAAGAGGTCAATTCAAAACCCTCAGCATACTTCTGTTTGGTAGGAATAGAAGGTAAGGCAGAAAGGAAGGAAATGGGTAGGGGTGAGGAAGGGAAACCAAACGAGAAGGGATATGCATCTAATGCTACAAAGGGTGAGCCGTAAGGGATCTTACCTAGTCAACACTGCCAAGTCAGCATTTTGATAACTCTAAACACCACAAACCAAAACCAAATCACTCACTGCCATCAAGTTGATTCGAACTCATAATGACCTCCAATGGGTTTCTAAGTTTGCAAATCTGTATAGATGCAGACTGCCTCATCTTTCTTCAATGGAGCAGCTGGTAGGTTCAAACCACTGACATTTTGGTTAGCAACCGAATGCTTTAACCACTATACTACCAGAGCCCTTTGTAAACATTGTATTTCATCAACGTTATTTGAATTACTCAAATAAATTAAATTAAAAAAATAATAATAATCACACACACAAAGATTGGTAATGAGTAATAACATGCTTTCAAAGTGTCCTTGCCACTTCTCATAGAGATTCTGATTAGAATGTCTTTCAATATTCACTGATTTGAGAATCACTCAGATTTCAATTCAAGATAACAATTTTATAGAGGAAGACAGGAAGTATAGGAAGAATATGTGTTGTCTTTGAATACATGACATTCTATTGTTTCTTTTTTCTTCCTTTTTTCAAATTCCCTGTAATCAAGGTCCAAAGAGTACAAAAATAGGAAAGAAATGCTTAACAAAACAACTTTATATACATAAAATCAAGGTCATTCATATATTTCCATGGAGCATTGTAATTTACCCAATGTACAAAGAAACTTCACATATGAATATGAAGTTATTAATTGTGTAGTATCGTCAGTAAATTCTATTATGCCACAGGGTCATATTGACTGTTCTAAAGAAACATCGCATTTAAATGCTTTCTGGAAAGTCATAGAAAAATTTAATTCTCTATTTCTCTCTTTCTCTCTCTATGTGTGTGTATGTGGATATGTGTATGTGTGTATGTTTTGGTGACCTTTCCAAAAGATGTGCAGTGATTAAAATTCTAGTGAACTCTAATATGTGCCAAATGGCAAATTAAATAAACCACTACATCACAGTTGAAGCAGTTCCAAAACAGCCTCAGAGCTGTCATTCTCTCCATGATTTACTCACTATTTAAACCCTATCTCCTCACACCCTCATTCTCTAAGCAACAGACTCTAGATGTCACCATGTCATTCTTCAGGACCATATTAACTCATTTCAAGGCAGGTGTTTCTGTTAAGACAATGAGTATGACCCTTTGGTACATTTTCCAAACTGTTTAGGAAAGATACTTTTATCAAAAGCTTTTGATGGTCATTGTAGGTAGAGTTAGAAAATTGCTCAGGTAAAACCTCAAATATATAAACACAATGACATTTTAAAAAGAGTTTTTCTGTAACTGAACTAAGTACAGAAGTTAGTCAAGAATTGGAAAAGGATAGTATTGACAATTACAACTGGCAAAAGATAAATAACCAGATTACAGAAAAGCACACATAAAACAATTAGAAATAGACAACCATCCAATAGGATAAATGAGGCAAAACTACGACTAGACATTTCACAGAAAGGAAAGCACGGATGCCGATACACATATGCATTCTCTTACATTGCTTATGGGACGGTAGAAAAATCTCTTTGGAAAATATTTTTGCATAATCTAGTAATATTAACATGTAAATTTCCCTCCCCTAAAATTTCTATTCTTGTGCATCCTAGGAAAAATCCAGTACATGCACATCAAGAAAGGTGTACAAGACTCTTCAAAGCAATACATCTTAAAGAAGTGAGATCTGGTACATAAACATATGCTTACTCATGTTCATTGCAGCAATAGCAATTTCAATAGTTTCAATAGCAAAGAGATAAAAACAACCTAAGTGCACATCAACAGATGAATAGATAACCAAACTATGTTACAAGCACACAATAGAATACAACATTGAAGAATGACAAAGAATCAGCGAATCACCTCATAATATGCATGAACTTGGAGAACGTTATACTGAGAGAAATAAGTCAATCACAGAAAGACAAATATTGAGTCCATCATGGTAAAAAGTCAAGGAAAGTTTTACACAGGGAAGGAAATTTTCTTTGCTGGTTACTGGGGATGGGCGGGGAGGAGAGGGAGGGAAATAGATGGATAATTAAGAGACAGGTTTTATATGGGTGAAGGGAAAAGTAATATAACAAAAGTGTGTGGCTAGCACAACATCATTAAGGAAAAGGAAAACATAGAGAGGTGCAAAACACATATAGACAATGAAGGTAAATACTATTGCATACACAATACTGCATCATCAGTAACAGCAAACACTAATCTACAGGTAGATGCATAGGTAGACAGGTATGGATAGGCAAATAGCTCTGGTGGCATAGTGCCTAAGGCATTTGACTGCTAACCAGAAGCCTGGTGGTTCAAACCCACCAGCCACTCCTCAGAAGAAAGGTTGACAATCTACTTCCATAGTGATCCTGCCTCGGAAACCCAAGGAGGGGTCGCTATGAGTTGGATTTAACTTGATGGCAATGGGTTTGGTTTTTTATACATAGGTTTGGCAGATGATATTCTTTCATATGTACTTGTATGTGATATAAAAATGTCCATATACAGTTTAAACATAACAGAAGGCAAAATTAGGATAACTTCTTAGCCACAGATAAGCCCCTTGAGGGAGTAGATAGCTGAGCCTGTGGGTTGGAGACCATGGTAGCAGGGAACATCAAGCTTAATTGGCTTAACATGGTATGCAAAAATATTGTTCTATATCTTACTTCAGTGAGTAGCATCTGGGAGTCTTAAAATTTTGTGAGCAACCATCTAAGTGGCAACTATTGGTCTCTCCTTGTCCGGAGCAAAGAAGAGTGAAGAAAATCAAAGATGCATGGAAACACTAAGAGCAAAGGACTAATGAACCATGAGAATCTCAACTTAGACAACCCAGAGAACAGAAGAACTAGGTGGTTTTCGGCTACCAAGGCCAACCACTTGGAAAGAGATCAAAACTGGAGATTTTGTATAGAGTGGGAGAAGAATATGGAACAAAACCCAAAATCATAAAAAAAAAAAAGATAAGTCTTACTGATCTGATAGAGATTAGTGAAACCTCCAACACTGCGAGTCACCTTTCGGGCCTGGAATTGAACTCACTCCCATGGCTTAACTCTCAGCCAACCAAGAGTGGCCTGTGAGCTCAACACCTGCACCAGGGAGATGCACTCCTTAGAACAGTCAACTTCAGGAAAGCAGAAGAGCAGCATTTGCACAGAGCAAAAGGTAGGGAGGCAAGAATCCAAAGGCAAGAAGAACACAGGGAAAGGGTAACCACAGGGAAGAAGTGGGAGGGGAGATGTTATGCTGTGGGGAATGTGACCAGTGTCACAAAACAAAATGTATATGAACTGCTGAATGTAAAATGAATCTGCTTTGCAAAATTTCACCCAAATCACAATAAAAAGTTAAGAAAATAAAAAGAATCTTTAAAGCAGCATCAGGTGTTATAATAAATAATCATCAAGAGATAGCCA